ATTTCCTGCACTCTCAACTGAGGCTTTTCTAAAATGCAGTATCTCTCAAGTGCAATATATTTATCTCACATGCAATAATTCATGTGCAATATTTCTCCTATACTTTTACACTGTTAACTGTTATCACTATATGTTACTTATTTTATTCAATCTTTTTTCCCCAAGTTAAAATTTCTTTAACTTGTATGCTGCTTACTGCCGAGACGTCTTTAGAAAGAGCCAAACATCATCTCATTGTACTCGTACAGTGACAATAAAGATATCTTATGTTAGGTGAGAGCAAGTGTGGCAGCATGGAGCTGGGGGTCAGGGGCCCTGCTCAAGGGCCCACAGACATGATTACCTTACTGAGGCTGGACTTGATCACAGATACAGAGGGTTAGCATGCTGAGCCACACGCTGCCCCCCCCCGTCTCCATGCCACAAAACTTATTTATTGTTATTATTATTATCATGTCATTTTATTCTTATATTGTTACCCTGCATTACTCCCCCCATCACACAGGCATTCACCAAGAAGTCATGCACAAAAAAACACATGAAAATGGCGAGACCTGAAATCTTAAAATTAAGTCCTTTAGCAATAGTATTTTTCATATATGCGCATGCAGCCCATGAAATGGGCCATCATCCGTATCCAGCTTGCGGACCTTGAGTTTGACACCAGTGGTTCAGATGATCGTGTTGCTAAGTCTGTGTTTTCTTCTCCATCTTTGTAACCAAGCCAAGGAATGAGCTAAGTTTACATTCTATAAAAACAGTAGTACGTTATGGGATATTTCACTGTTACACACCCAGATTGGTGATCTAATTGGGGTTGTGTACATTTGTTAAGAGAAAGTTTGTTCCATAATAAAAACCGTTTTCTCAGTTTTTGACGCAACACAATGAACCGACTACAGCTGGAATCCAAATTACATGTTTTATTGCTGTTTGCAAAATATAAATATTAAATGAAATACTTTTATATCTTAGATAAAATATCCTATATAATATACAAGTTCAAATGATGTATTTTATGGCCTCAATTTAAAATTACTTTTTTCATGAAGTATTTGTAATATTGGTGAGTTTTACTGCTTGTTTAGTTCTTAGGTGCCTGTAACTCTCTGCACACACTAGATGGCTGCCTGTCTGTCTTTGCCGTGTTCGTACATCTGCCCACTCATCTTCCCCCAGAGCTTCTAAGGCCTACACAAAGTCTTTAGTTTAGTGCCCACAGGTGACTCTTTTAGTTTTGAATTCCTTTGTAAAGGGTTCATGTTATTTTAGCTCAGGCGAGAGACAGCAGCCTTTGCTTTAGCCAGACATTTAAAGATAATATAAGATTTCTGTATCTTGTAGAACACAGAAGTAACCGGTTCAGTAAGTTCCAAGGTACAAGATGATCTTTTACTGATAACACAGCATTTCTGAATTGTTATTCTGCCTGACTGCAGCTTCCATGCATCAAATCCTTCCACCCTGGATGCTGAACCGTCCCAAACACTCACGTGACTCTTCCAGTCTCGTCTCCCTACATTTCCTACCCATTGGAACTTGTGCGAATTTCACACTCCCAGGATTGACATGCAAAGCACCAAAAAAAAAGCACCAAAATCTCATCAAATGGTACAATCCGAAGGGATCTCAGGGACCTCCCCATGGTTTACTCCGACGTCTGCGCACATGGAAGGGGGTAATATGTGTCTCAGTCTCTGCCATACTTGTGGTCACACAAGGCACGTAAAATTGATATTAACACAGTAAGGTCAAAACAGGATCTGTTGCTATTATAAACCTTGTCGATTTTATCAGCTGTTTGGTCGTTAAACATGAATAAGAATAAACATTCAGCTGATCTGGTGACATTAATACCGTTCACTGTGAGTCGGAGGTGGAGGGTAACCTTGCGAGTCTGACCATGACTTTAACAGACCATCCGTCATGTTCACTGGCAGCATCAGTTTACAATTCACACAAGCCGGGGTTTGTAAGTGGTTCACTCCTCAACAGTCCTTTACTTAATCTTCCCATGTGATAAGTATGTTCCGGTGCTTATTTGTATAGCCAGTGAACCATGCAGGGACGAGGCGGAGCAGAACTAAGGATGCTGTATGACCGATCCATCAATGCACTTTGCTGTTTGTGTTCTGTAGCAAAAATTTGCCATGCAAACTGGTAAGATGGTGTTTGGTCTGCCCTGAAGTCTCCATGCCGGGGGGGTGGGGGGGGTCCTCTATGAACAGTCTGGATTTAGAAAGAGGGGAGTGTGAGCCGTCTTGAGAAATACCTGCGGTCAGGAATCCTGATTTGAAGTCTTGGTGGCACCTGAACTGGGGTGTGATTGCAACTGAATGGGTCCAACAATGTAAGTTGCTAAGGGGAGGTTTTGGGAAACACCCCCTGAATGACACCACAATGTCCAAATGACATGTAACTGGCTCTCCTTTCCTTCACTGCACTGCATACCTTGCCTATCTACAATCTCTCAAATTCACACATGTAATAGTAAATAATAATGATTTATTTCTATGACCATCACACCAACCCATCGCAGCATTATAGCATTTCTCAAGATGCATATGCATGTTAGCCTGGGAGAGGTGCACTCACCACTACAAAGACCTAACAAGGAACAGTTGCCTTCAAAACAGCTTGAATACTGCTTGGAACGCAGCTGGAAATCAAAAATTTACTGACGCACTCAATGTTGGTAGATGTGACCATGATAAATTGACTTGCTTACATACTAAATTGCTGTGGGCAGAATCCCCGTTGCTGTTATAATAGCACCCCACAGTACATCCTTTGAAGAAAACTGGCCGACATTGATTGATGGTACTCCATAGGTTCTCAAGAGAATTTAAATCAGGTGAAGATGTTATGCATGCAGAAGGCTATTTTTGAAACCCACTTACAACAAGAAATCTTAACGCCAGAGACTTTTACATCAGGCCACAAAGTTTTTTTTTGTTTTTTTTAGGAATTTAATACAAGCATCTGCAATCAACTTTAAATCTTCATGAACTCACTAAACCATCACCCACAATCTCACCAACAATTATACCAGCCCAAAACACTGTGCCTCTGCCTTCTGGCTGGTGTCCTAGTTCGAGAAAGTAAGGTGTCATTTCTGACCCAACCCTTGCTCCATCCATCTGTTGCATCAAGAGATGGTCAGAACTCATCAGTGAGCAAAATAATTTAGAAGTATTTCTGGAACCATGCAGAAGCTTCACTTCATGGCAGCCCTTTCACAGAGGTTGAAAATCTGTCTTTAAACATTTTCCAAAGTAGTGGAATATCCTGCTCCTTGTTGATCTTGAGACATCGTTCATCAGATTTCTTTGATGTTGGCTGAAGGATTTTTCCCTTGGCACTCTTAATGAAGGAGATTTCACTTTGTGAAACTACTCTTTCCGTTTATTTGAAATGCATTTCTTTCTGCCATATACTTCACGATATGATGGTCTCTGTCAATCTTAGCAATTTCAAGTGTAGTTTTGCCAGTCACCCAAGTTCTTAATGATTACACTCTTCTAAGTTAAGGCAGTTGTCTTGCATTCCATAATGAGATTCAAGAACTTTATGTAAATTGCTTAATACAACAGCACAATATAATCATAAGCGGCAGCGCCTCAAATACTCAGGTGCCATAATCAATGAAATTCACAAAAGCTAAAGATTACTATCAATATCCATGGAAAGTAAGACACCCTAAAAGTGAAGACATGAGACCGCATCAACAAATCCTTCAGTGGAAGAGTATGACACTCAGTGCAGCTTCAGTTGCCCATTTTTAGACACGGATATAAAAAATGTATATTCAATAAGATCACACCAATATGAATTAAATGTTTTGACTTGAATAACAAGTCAGTGACCCAACCCTGCATCTGCTTAAATTTTAAATTAGAGAGAACTTTGCGGCTACTGCAGTAATAGTAACAGGCAACACGATCCAGAAGCCAGTGTCATTTATGGGCTACTTAATCAGAGCCACATGCTGTTGAAGGCCAGTGTTGTGCTTTTATGTGACTCGTTAAAGGGTCCTGATCGAGCAGTGGCATGAGTGGCTACAGACAGGGCTAAGCCAAACAGTCTGAGGGCCCATCACCCGACCTGCATTTACAGTAAGCAATGGCAGTTCGAGTGTCACAATAGTGCACCAGCAAACCACCAATTATATCCTGACAGCTTTGGTACCTTAAATGCTAACTGGATGGCTGACAAGCAGCAGTCACTGGGTTTAATAAGTCTGGGGTATCAGCATTCAGACACCTTTCACTCCACGTTTAAGTTTCATTCACTCTGGTTACAAATGGCTGGCTTGAGTAGAGTCTCCTGATGTCCTAATTCTTCCTTTTAAAAATTCTGCCAAACCTGAACGAAGACAGCAATTGCGTAAAGCTCGCCTTTTTCCTTTGGGCTACCCACAGACACCAACAGGAAGTATGACACATCTGTGGCGCTTCTATAAACACGCCAGAGTCAGCCGATCTAGGCTGCAGTCTCACTGAAATCCTAGTGTTTTAATGAGGCTGCTTTATCAGGCAGGACAGCTATAAACCAACACCAAACCCTTCAGAACGATCGTCTTGCTACTCTTGTTGTTACTGAGGCCATGGTTTACTGGTACAAGGGCAGAAAGTCCAGCAGTGGGGACATCTCTACAGCAGAACCATTAAAAGAAGTCACCAAGTAATTGTTTCATAACACGATTGTTATGTCAAGTAAATTCCTACAACAGATTTTTTTTTTTTTTTTTTTTATTGGTGGGTTTAGCACCAAGTGCCATTTAGCAGACTAGCAGCCCATCATGGATGAGGCCTACATTGCTACACTCGCATTTCCTCTTTAGTAAAATTGAGGGGACTCGCGCATAAATTTGGACTTGTACTAAGACCTGAGATTAAGGTGGGTAAAGTCCATCTATGATGCCACATACCAAGAGACTTTCAGATCACATGCAAGGTCAAGAGGCACTTGGGGGAAAAAAAAAAGGCAAGAGGAAGCAGTCAAGGTTGGCCACCTTTATTGAAGGGTCCAATCACATCGCCAGAAGGTGAGCCAGAGATAAGCAAGGCTCTGCTCAGCTGCCCTTAACCTCCAAGACAGACTCGACCACCTGTCCGGGGCCCTCTGTTCCCCACAGTCTCTCCCTCACCATCCAAACCCAATGGCCTGCAGTCTTTGGCCAGGAGCGTCATGGGTTGTTAGAATCACTTCCTGACTGGAGACTGTGGCCTTCTCACGGTGCCGGTCCTTCCAATCAGCATCAATAGCTCTACCTGAAACAAAGTATGTCAGATACAAGCGCCTGATTCAGAATTGGGGGGGGGGGGGGGGGGGGGGTGTTGTTAATTCTACCTTTCCGGAAGCATCTCTGCTCACAGTTATCAGCAGCAGAGAGGTGACACACCGCTACGCTACAGTGGAAGAAGACCTGCAAAAAGCATAGGATAGCTTAATGTTAATCCATTGTACTCGGACAGCAGCATTTAAGGGCCCCAGTACCTTCTGCATTTGGTGCGGGTGAAAGTTCTGGTCAACAAAAGCAAACATCTTGACAGCAAATCTTTTGTAGTGAGATGGGAATGGAAGCCCAGAGGAGCCATCCACTGGGACCAGTGTGGTCTGGTACTTGTCAGTCTGGTCAGGACACCTGTAGAAACTCAAAGTGAGGCAGGAGGCAGGCTTGTCGGGTCCAGAACCAGTTTGGTTTCCTAATTACCCATCAACCAGGAGGCGCCACTGGGGTAGGCTCAGAGGATCAGTGGCTAAGGTTGCCCAGCAACGCTCCAGAAGCAAAACAAGGTTGGGGTCCGTCCTCTCAAGAATGCGAACCTCAACATACACAGGATCTCTTAACATCTTGGTAATAGGGCCATCACTTTGGCCATAGTATGATGAATAGAGATGAACACCTGCAAAAAATGGGAGAAGTACGGTTAGGAAGGAGAGGTTCAGTTACATCTTCAGGAATATATTACACTGTCAGGGGAAAAATAGGTACTAATTCATATCTTTCAGGGTACATTTACATGTCACCGGGGCTGTACCCTCCAGGGTCTACCGATTGTACCCTAGCTGTAGGTAAATACCTTTTTAGGTACAGAAATTAACTCTGAAAAACATTTTTGTACCACTGGTGGTACATTAATGTTGCTGGTACCTTGGGGTACAAAACCATGGCAGCGTTGTACCATTTTTTCCCCTGAGTGCAACAACCAGCTCACCACTAATTATTCCAAGTCAAAACGCCAACACCACCACTTGCTGTACCTTCATCACATCCTGATGCGTGGCATTGCCCTTTCGCCAGCCTAAGCTCGATCCTGAGTGGTCCCGGGGCAGCGATTGCAATGGGCTGCAGCACCATGGGGACTTCAGCAGTGGACAACGTGAGGTACTTGCACTGCAGGATCACCCTGAAATTACAGTTGGTCAAGTCCAGGTGAGGGCCAACAGCAAGAGAAACCCCCTAGCCCACTTACTCTTGGGAAAGAGTGTTTTTAGCCAAATTCGGCAGTCCCATCCCAGCACTGCAGAAGAGGAACAGCCTGCTTTCGAACACCACATAGTTCCCTTCCACCTGGGAGAGAAGACAGTGGCTATAACCAATGTGTCAAGGCACAAAGCTTTACTGGAAGAGAACAACACACTTTTTGTGTGGTCCCACATGCAGTGACCGGGAAGTTGTACACATCAAAAGAATCAGTGACGGCAACAGGACCGCAAGATGGGGCTCCGTCCCCCAGCTGGGAAACAGCAGGCGAAGTAAGGTGTAGTGCTGCAGAAGACTTAGCCACCACAACCAGAAAGTGGCCATCCTCAGTACACTGCAGAGTCACTGAGGGAGAAAAACTCAAGGTCAAGTTTTATCGCCTAGTGCCCCCTTAAGGTACAAAGACCAGAAAGCAAAAGCCAGGCACACCTGCATTTCCATAATAACACTGCTGACCATCAAAACAACAGTCTATGGCTTCACAGGCAGTGCGGCCTATACCGGGGTAACCACACGTCAGCCTTTCGCTCACTCGGCACCGGGCATCAGCCGGCACGTTCCCACCGGACCCCGTCTGTTGCGCTGAAGCAGCAGCTAAGACGAGAAAAACGGCGAAAATATGAAAACAGCGCAGGCAGCACCGCGATCGCTCCATCATAAAAACCAGGCGAGATTACAAAGGCCTGCCACCTCCAATCTTTAAGTAACGCCGCTTTCGCAAGCGCCTTTTGGAGTCTCATTTAGGTTCTAGCGCATTAACCTAATTAGCGAGGTTAATTAGGGTAAATTTGCAGCAGCGTATGAAGTTCGGAATCGTTTCTTCTGGTTTTACATAAAATGTATTTTAAAAATAAAAACGGGAGGTTCCTAAGAAAATAAAAATTATCTCAAATGAATATCTCATAAATTTATTTGAAATGTAAAAAAGAAACCTAACGTGAAATCCAAATTTCTAATATTTGTCGTTGATTGTATTATCTTGGCGTTTCTATGTAACGGCGAGGACATTGAGTTTTTTGTGAATTGTTATGCAAGTGGTTTGCATGATGTTCATACTCATTTCCGCGTTTTATAACTTAATCTTTGGATTATAGTGGGATTTATTTGGTATTAGGCAATGTTTATGACCGCTAAAAACAAAGTGTGTGCAGTATAAAATATTACACAATACGGCAGACTTAATCATTTACCCTTAAAGTGCAGCTTTTAAATATGAAGCAATATTATTTAGTTGCGAAACATCTGCTTAATTACAGCTTACATCTCCCCCGAAGTCTAATTAAAAACATTGCCGGTGGAGTATAATACAATGATAAGAATTACATGCAGTTTAAAAAATAGCCAATGAACGACAACATTCTTTTAAATAGGACAGAAATAAAATGACTAATAAAACAAAAATAAACGAGTTAAGCTAATTATATACTTTTACAGTTGGAATAGCAGCCTAAGGGAATTTGTAAATTTAGAATTGTGAAGTTCCTTTAAATCCCTTTTCCTTTAAATCCCTTTTCTGTACATAATTTCTTCAGTTAGTTATATTATCAATTCATCCATTTTCTATACCTGTTTGTCAATAATAATAATAATAATAATATACCTAATTAACATGAATGAGGGCATCAGTGGGAATGGGACATTAAATGATCAATTTCTATAAGATCTAAAAACTACAACACTGATAAAAATTGCCTGCGTGAGGGTTTACAGCAAAACCGCTGATAGTAATAGTAAGTGATAGTTAATATAAAATGCAATTGCGCGTTTATAGAAGCATTAATTAGACGGCGATATTTACACAGCATAAAAAATCAGCTATTCCTGAGAAACAAGAACTTAAATTCCAGACACCTGCCTCACATTTTTGGGATGTTTTTTTTTTTCATTCCAAAAAGTTACTAGAGGCTTTTATTTAAATTTTCATTCAAAGTAAATCAATTCAATTTCAGTTACATTCAGTTTTCACATTACATTGTCTCAAAGCACTTTACGTTATCCCCGCCCAAATCACCCAGTGAGCAAGTCAGGCAGGAGGGCGAGCAGGCCGGAATGACGTCACAGGCAGGAGGGCGAGCAGGCCGGAATGACGTCACAGGCAGGAGGGCGAGCAGGCCGGAATGACGTCACAGGTAGTGGAGACGTGGAAGTGGGATAATAATGGCTATTTTTTTTTTACAGAATTCAAGTCTAAGAGAGGAGTTTAAGAAGTTTAACAGGGCAGTGCTAATCAGTGGTGCAATCTCCTTGAGGAATTTTTGTAGGAAATGGGTCTACAGGACTAGTGGATTTGCAGATGGAAACCACGCTCAAAAGTTCTGATTGGTTTATAGGAAGGAAAGATTCAAAGGTGTCATTATCAGCACGAATAGGACTAGCAGGAGGCTGGTAGCTGTATGTATTTACAGACGTGCACTGGATGGTCTGTCTAATCGTAGTTAATAAACCATTAAAAAATGTAATAAAGTCATCACTCTTAAGAGGTTGTGAGACTTGAAAGTTTAACATTGAAGAATTCTGTGTCAACACAAGACATATACTATACAGAGATTCAAACAGGAATTTAGGATTGTTTTTGTTCTTTTCTATTAGTCTGGAGAGAGACACAGATCTAGTCAGCCTTCAGTTTCACTAGTGCTTGTCTGTACTTGGAGAGGCGCTCTGTCCAGGTGGATCTGAAAACTCCTAGTTTCGTTTTGTGCTTTAGCTTGTGTGATGCCTGTTTAAGTTCACAAGTATGATCAGATTACCAGGGACAGGTTTCTAATCTCTAAGCTTTATTTTCTTTACAAGAGCTACAAGATCTAGAGTGCTGCAAAACAATTTCACCATGTTCAAGGTTACCTGTTCAGATTCATTTTCACACAAGGCTTCAGATGTAAGGATGAAGAAATGTGGAAGTTGGTTGAGAAATGTTGTTGTAGATAAATAGGCTATGGAACATCTGATACTGTACTTTGGAAGTCAGAAAGGGAGGCTATACTGTATATCAAACGTTAACAAGTAATGATCTGAAAACAGAGGACTCCAAGGTAAAATAGATATGTGTTCCACCAGGATACCATGGCTAAGAATCAAATCTAGGGTATGGTTACAGGCATGAGTTGGCCGACTACATTCTGACATACATCTACAGAGTCTAGAATAGCAGCAAATGTTAAAGGATCACTGTCGCTCTTCATGTGAATATTAAAATCGCCAACAATCACAGCTTTGTCAGTAGGGACCGCCAGGTTTGTTACAAAAAATCTGCAAGCTCCTTAGGAAAATTACTGTACGGACCAGGCGGTCTATACAGAATAACAATGGTGATTGGAGGTTAGGGACCAGGCAGCAATGGTGATTGGAGGTTAGGGACGAGGCGGTCTATACACAATAACAAT